GCAGAGGGGACGACGATCTTACGACGGTGCAAGGGGAAGTGCAAAACCAGATCGATCACCACCACCACTCACTGTGTCCAAGAGCCGTCCAAATCCAAAACAGCAATTGCCGAAGGACTACAAGGGAGCTCTGGGAGAAGGGGGGACGTAAGAGCGTTCTGCAGGGTATTTGGCGTGTGTGTGTGTGTGTGTGTTGTGCTGGGTGGGTTGGCGACGCCCTCCGAAACCACGAGGGACGTTTGTACGTTTATTTTTCAGGGCCTCTCCGTCTGTGGGTCCCCCGTTCAAACCAGTTACGGGACCGATTATCCTGTCTTCTCACCCCCCTCCATTCTTTTCCCCCCTTCTCTGGTCCACCGCCCGGACCCCCCCCTTGTTTCAACCCCCCTCCTGCCCCCCCTCCCGCCCCCCCGCCTGTCCGACGCACAGGAGGTGCAACGCGGTCTGTCCCGCTACTTGGAGGCCAAGCGGCTCGCCTTCCCGCGCTTCTTCTTCCTGTCCAATGACGAGATGCTGGAGGTGAGTGCACGGCCGTGTGTGTGTGTATATGTTTATATATGTGATTTCACCCCGTCGTTCCGCCGCACCACGTCTGACATATCTGGTGGCGCCTGGCAGCACATCATGACCCTAACTGCACATGCACCCCGACGGCACATCGACGAGCCATCGACGGCCATTGAACGCCATTCGGCCTCTTAAACACACAAGTGCCCCTCGTCCGTCCTCGCGAATTATATCGCCGGCGGAAAATCGCTGCTGCCGCCGTCTCCCCTCCGTCGCCGCCGCCGCTGCCGCCCCCCCCCCACACACACCCCCACACACCCCACACACCCCACACACACGCACATGCGCTGTGCCGCCGTCCTAACACGCCCTGTTTGCCCCGTTCTGCATTGCAATGTGCATAAATGGTAGTGTGGAAGAAGTGAAAGGGACGTTTATCGTTATACCTCGTTCACACATACACCCCTTCCCACCTCCCTCCTGCCTCCCCCCCGCCTTCCCGCCCTCCGCAGATCCTCTCCGAAACCAAGGACCCCACCCGGGTTCAACCCCACCTGCGGAAATGTTTTGAAGGCATTCACCGCCTCAAGTTCGAGCCGGGGCCGGGGGGTGTCGTGTCGGCTATGGTCAGCCTGGAGGTAGGAGGAGGCCGCACGTCTGTCTGTCTGTCTGTCTGTCTGTCTGTTTATGTATGTTTATGCTTATATTCCTTGTGTACAATACGGGTGTTATTGGGGATGGGACGAAGGATTGGGGTGGGGAAGCCGGACAGGCATACAGACAGGCATACAGACAGGCATACAGACAGGCATACAGACAGGCATACAGACAGGCATACAGACAGGCAGACACGACGCTAGTTGCAACGGAAACCGGCGCCAAGATGTTCTTTGAAAGCCGGGCAAGCCAGGGTTTTGTGGTGCCAGGGATCTGCGCTGCTATGCCTACTACGCCGTACAAGGCCGTACTTGGCTGAATCACGTGTTTTCCCCATGGTCACGCTCATCGGCGCAGTTCCTCTCCCCGCCTCCCCTCATGCACGGGCGGATGAAATACCCATTCGCCCTCAAGTTTCATGTGACCCACCTATCGCCCCGAGCCTCTTGCCCCGGACACCGCGGGGCATACACACACATACACACACACGGTTCTCTCCCTCCTCCCCTCCCCTCCCCTCCCCTCCCGTCCTCTCCTCCCCCCTCTCTCCCCCGCCGAAAAGGGCGAGTTGGTTCCCTTCAAGCAGGTCATCAGTACCTCCATGGCCCGGGGTAAAGTGGAACTGTGGCTGATAGAGGTGCGTGTGTGCGTGAGGTGCTCTGTATGTATGTATGTGAGTGTGTGGGCACACGTGTGTGTATGTGTATGTGGGGGGTTGACGGGGCCAGGTGGCGCAGCTTGGGGTTGGAGGGGAGATGGCATTTCCCGGGTTTGTGCGGCAGTGGGTGGGGGTTAAGGGCGGGGGAGAAGAGGGTGTTAAACCCCCACGCCCTTCCACCCACGTGTGCTCGTGACTTACGGGAGTCCCCTGCTTCACTCCGTACATACACACATACACACATACACACATATATACACACATACGCGCATGCACAGGTGGAGTCGTCGATGTTTGAGGCCGTACATGACGTCACCGGACGGGGCATCGCCGACTATGCGGCTGTAGCAGGACGCGGCGGGGCAGCAGGAGCAGTAGCAGCAAGCGGCGGCCACTCGAAGCGTCCGGAATGGGCCTTACGTTGGCCGGGCATGGTCGTACTTTTGGCGGCGGGTGTGTTCTGGACCGCGGGCGTGGAGGACGCCTTGATGACGGGGCGGCTGCAGGTACGTATGTATGTATATATGTCCACCGCGGGGTGTCCGCGGAAGGAAAGGATCTAACCAGATATGCCAATTGGTACGATTGCGTGTCAATGTACGACAGGAAGATCTGTGGACTTTTTGAATTTGATTGAGATCTTGCTGTCCTATTGCGTAAGGTTTATATTCAGTAAAAAAAGGAGCTAGGGACGTGTCCTTAGGTTTTGCTGTGTACGGCAGATTCTGGGGGACTTGAGGTTGATGAGGAAAAGGGAGAGAGTTGTGTTTTTTTCCATGTGGGGAGGGGGGAAGAACAAACTCCTTTGCCACGCCTCTTGCCGCGGCCCTCTTCCGACCGTGGCTCCGGCTTTCGACCATTTCCCTGTAACAATCTTAACCACCCTAACTACCCTGACCACCCCGTCCAGGAGTACGAGAAACGGTGCAGCGCAGACTTGCGTGAGGTAGGGAAAGAGGTGGAGTTGGCGGTTGGCGGTTGAGCGTTGGGAGGTGAAGGGGTTAGAAAAACTTCATTCGGGTAGGGGGGAGGCCATTGCGTGGGGCCGCAAGGATGGTTAATTGGATTGCGGTTGACAGTTGGCGGTTGGCAGTTGGTTAGTTTGGGGCCTTGGATTTCGGGGCAGTTGGTTCTTGCTTCTTACATCATTGATTTCCCTCGCCCCTCCCCCCCTTCCCCCCTCCTCCAATCCCCTACATTCCGGTCTCCCCAGATTGTGGATCTAGTTCGTGGCGAGCTGACCGGGTTACAACGTGCCACGCTGGGGGCTCTGGTGGTGATGGACGTACACGGCCGGGATGTGGTTTCGGAGCTGGCAGCCGGCGGGGTGGCCGACGTGGCGGACTTTGGCTGGCAGGCTCAGCTGAGGAGCTACTGGCAGCAAACCGATGTGAGGAGGGGTTAGGGTTTTAGGCAGTGTTTTTTTTTCGTTTTGGGCCTAATACCCTTGAGTAATAAACTGGGTGTTTCTTGCGGTTACAATTCCTTTTTGTATAGTCGCTGGGGGGGGCTGCGCCCCCCCCAGACCCCCCCTCAAAGGCTGTACGGTGTGCTGTAAACAACACCTGACGTCTGGAAACAAACATGCCGTACCACCATCGTTCTGTGCACCTAACTGCATTTGCGCCAGTGTCTCTGTGAGCAGTGTCTGCGGAGTTTCTGAGCCGTTTGCTTTGGTCAAGAATGAACGAATGCCCCGTTGACCTAAGTTGAATGCAACAGCGGGCCGTCTCATGGTGATATCATCAAATATTTTATATATAAATAGTGTATAAACTCCAAATGTTCAGCTTTATATGTGCAGAAGGCATTTGGGGCGACTTATGGCCGAAGTAATGAACCAGTACGGCCAACTGACCAATTATTCCATTTCTTCCAGGCACAGTCCCCCATTTATTCCCAAAAAAGTAATATATTACCAAAAAACAACACTTGTTTTAGGGTTTTAGGGTTTTAGGAGGGGTATGTGTGTATGTATGTATGTATGTATGTATGTATGTATGTATGTATGTATGTATGTATGTATGTATGTATGTATGTATGTATGTATGTATGTATGTATGTGATATGTATGTGATATGTATGTGTGCCCCACCCGCGCAATCCCCCTTCTTTTCCCGTTCTACACTCCCAAGGGCAAGATGGTTCCTGGCCAACCTCAGCGCGATTGGACAGCTCGCATGTGCATGATGAGTGCCGTACTTGAGTACGGATATGAGTACCTGGGGAACAGCTCAAGGCTGGTGATTACACCGCTGACGGACAGGTAGTGGAGGAGGAGGGGGGTGGCAGAGGGGGGAGAGGAGGGTGGGGCGGGTGTTTGGGGATGGGGAGGGGGAGGACAGGAGCCGCAAGTGCGTACGTCGTATGTATGTCCGTTGGTCAGACGTTGGATTTAAAACAGGAGTGAGGAAATGGGTCGGAGGCGAAGGAGGAGAAGAAGGCACTTGATCCACACTTACATACCTACATGCATACACACTCAACCTTGCACTCGGCTTCGTTTCGCTCCGATTGTTTGGCTTGTTTCATCGCGCCTAGTCGTGCCTCCCATTCCCCTCCCTCTCTGGACGCGCAGGTGTTATCGTACTTTGATGGGCGCAATACACCTGAACCTCGGGGGGGCGCCGGAGGGGTAAGGGCCCGGGGTCCGGGGGGAAGACACGGGGGGGGGTCGGTTGGGGTTTTGGTGACCGGGGGAGTAAGGGGGGAAAATGGGAAACTGTAATTGTACGGGAACACACGCCATACTGAGTGGGCCATTTTTGAGTCTTATTGCTTTTGAACTTCGACAAATCCTCCCGCTTTCCACTCCCCTCGCCCCTAATACATATACACACATACACATGCAACTCGCGGTTTCCTCCGCGCAGCTTAGATGATTAAAACACACACGCCCCTTACATCCCCTCCCCCTCCGTTTCCCCTCAGCCCCGCCGGTACGGGCAAGACCGAGACGACCAAGGACCTCGCGAAGGCCCTCGCGCGGCAGTGCGTGGTGTTCAACTGCTCAGACACGCTGAACCACCTGGTACGGATGAAGTACGGATGAAGTACGGCGGGCTATGTACCCCAGCCGTACGTTAAGGAGTACGGCTAGATGCGTGTACTAAACAGGACATGGAGCGGATAATCATGCTTGTAGTTGTTTTTTTGTACTTTTGTTTTAGTGCTGTTGTTTATTGGGTTAGTTCGCGTGTTTGCCCTTTCTGCGCTGTGGGTTTTGGTCGTCACCACCGTGTCATGGGCCCCTTCACCAAACCCCTCCACCTCCACCCGCTTCCCCCAACACACACACGCCTGCCTCCGGGTCCTTGCTACCGCTACTGCTACTGCTACTACTACTGCTACTGCTACTGCTACTGCTTCAGGATATGGCCAAGTTCTTCAAGGGCCTTGCGGCAGCGGGCGCCTGGGCGTGTTTTGACGAGTTCAACCGCATAGACCTGGAGGTGCTTTCCGTGGTGGCGCAGCAGGTATGTACGGCATACAAATACGGCATACCCTTTTTTTGTTTTGTTTGTGTCCTTGTGTGTGTGTGTATGTGTCCCTTTTTCCCCATACTGACTCCGTCTCGACTCCCCAAACCCTGACGTGAAAATCCTCCTTTCTCTCCCCTCCTCCCTTTTCTCCAGGTGTTGGACATCCAGCGCGCCATCTCTGCCCGTGTGACTCTGTTCACCTTCGAGGGCACTGACCTGCCGCTCAAGTGGAGCGCCTGGTGCGCCATCACCATGAACCCGGGGTATGCGGGGAGGACGGAGCTGCCGGACAACCTCAAGGTGAATGCGGGGAGGGGGGGAGACGGGGGGGGAGAAGGGAGAGGGTGAGGGGAAGAGAGGGGGGAGGGGGGGAGAGGGGGGAGGGGAGAGGGGGGGACGGGTATTTGAGGAAGGTGGTAGAGGAGAGGTGGTGAGAGCATGACGTGATGACGGGGTGAGCGGGTGAGGGGAGGTGAGAAGGACGGGGAGGGGGAGAAAGGGTGGGAGGGACGGAGGGAGGGAGGAGAATTTAGGGTATTCTGCGTGGGGGTGTGTAGCGGGGGAAAAGGTGAGGGTCATTTGAATTAAGAGCAAGGAAGGGGGGAGAGGGGTTTGTGGAGTGTACGGAATGCGGATTACCCGTGTAGAGAAGTGGCGGGCGTCGCTATACCTCGATACGTCGCCAATGTTTAACGGCCGCAATGGCCCTGAACGCCTCTCTGAAGCTCCAATCACGCAACACGCACCGTTGCCATTCGATATAACCGTTTCTAACCGCTACAACTGCTAAACCGCCACAACTGTCCCAACCGCTTCAGGCGCTGTTCCGCAGTGTGGCCATGATGGTCCCCGACTACGCCATGATTGCGGAAATCATCCTGTACAGCTACGGGTATCTTGCGGTACGTCGTACATTGTCATACGGCTGTACGGCCTTCTTTCCAAATTCCTCATTGTCATACCGTACACGTATGTGCTGTCGTATTGTTCCATTATGTCATAATTCAATCCTCCTCTTGTTCCCACCCCCCTCCCACCCCCCTCCCACCCCTCCCCCTCCCCCTACCTCTACCCATACCCCCCTACCCAGGCTCGCCCCGCAGCCAAGAAGATCGTGGCCTGCTACAAACTGTGCTCGGAGCAGCTGTCCAGCCAGGATCACTACGATTACGGTAGGATGTGATGGCGGGGTGTGACCCGGTGGTGGGTGAATGTGTTCGAATTGCACAACTTGTCAATCCGGCCCTCCCTGGACGGGAGGGCCTCTCCCCCCACACACACGCACATCCCCGGGGGGGGGGAAGCCGGGGGGAGCCCCGCCGCCTCCCCTACCTACCGGCCTACCTACCTACCTACTTACCTACCCATCCCGCCCCCTCCAGGCATGCGGGCTGTGATGGCGGTATTGCGAGCTGCCGGCAATCTGAAGAGAGCTGCCGTACAGGCCCCCGAGGCCACGACGGCCATGACACCCGAACAACAGGTGCATGCGTATGTGTATATGTGTATGCGGGGCAAGGAGATGGGTGTATGTGTGTGCCCGTGCGTGAGTGTTCGGAGATTTTGTATATTCTTGGGGGAAGGGGTGATTCCATGAAACCATCAGTACGATTGAAAAAAAAGCTCGCGCTGAGATTTGAACTCAGGTCGGTGGATTCAGAGTCCACAGGGCTAACCGCTACACCACGCGAGCTTTATCACCCGATGACTTCGTCGGAACTGGGATAAGTTATATGAGGAAGGGAGTAGGGAAACGAGTCTCTTGGGGGAGAGCTATGCACGCACGGTCATGTGTGTGTATGCATGTGTACGCGTATGTATGTTTGCACCCCCGCTCCGCCCTTTCCTCATCTATTCTCTACCGAACCTCCATAATACATACTGGTGGGCTACTGTTATTGCTACTGCTACTGCTACTACTACTGCTACTGCTACTGCT